TTAAAAAATAATGACTTTCTAAATTGGTCAATTTTTGATAAAAAAGTAAGGCTATAGGCTTAGGAAAATCATGAAAATTTTTCGAAAATTTTTTCTTCAAAAAAAAGGTTTATATGCTTCAACATGATCATAAAGAATAGGAATTGATCTTAGTTTGGGAATAGAAGTCGTTTTCGTTAGAAAATGACGACTTTCTAAAGTGGTCAATTTTTGATGAAAAAGTAAGGCTATAGGCTTAGGAAAATCATGAAAATTTTCCGAAAATTTTTTCTTCAAAAAGAGGTTTATATGCTTCAGCATGATCATAAAGAATAGAAATTGAACTTAGTTTGGGAATAGAAGTCGTTATTGTTAAAAAATAATGACTTTCTAAATTGGTCAATTTTTGATAAAAAAGTAAGGCTATAGGCTTAGGAAAATCATGAAAATTTTTCGAAAATTTTTTCTTCAAAAAAAAGGTTTATATGCTTCAGCATGATCATAAAGAATAGGAATTGATCTTAGTTTGGGAATAGAAGTCGTTTTCGTTAAAAAATGACGACTTTCTAAAGTGGTCAATTTTTGATGAAAAAGTAAGGCTATAGGCTTAGGAAAATCATGAAAATTTTCCGAAAATTTTTTCTTCAAAAAGAGGTTTATATGCTTCAGCATGATCATAAAGAATAGAAATTGAACTTAGTTTGGGAATAGAAGTCGTTATTGTTAAAAAATAATGACTTTCTAAATTGGTCAATTTTTGATAAAAAAGTAAGGCTATAGGCTTAGGAAAATCATGAAAATTTTTCGAAAATTTTTTCTTCAAAAAAGAGGTTTATATGTTTCAGCAAGATCAAAAAGAATAGAAATTGAACTAAGTTTGGGAATAGAAGTCGTTTTTGTTAAAAAATAACGACTTTCTAGAGTGGTCAATTTTTGATGAAAAAGTAAGGCTATAGGCTTAGGAAAATCATGAAAATTTTTGAAAATTTTTACTTCAAAAAGACGTTTATATGCTTCAGGATGTTCATAAAGAACAGAAATTGAACTTAGTTTGGGAACAACGGTTGTTTTTGTTAAAAAATAATGACTTTTTAGAGCGTTCAATTTTTGATAAAAAAGTAAGGCCATGGGCTTAGGAAAATCATGAAAATTTTTCGAAAATTTTTTCTGCAAAAAGAGGTTTATATGCTTCAGCATGATGATAAAGAATAGAAATTGAACTTAGTTTGGGAATAGAAGTCGTTTTTGTTAAAAAATAATGACTTTCTAAAGTGGTCAATTTTTGATGAAAAAGTAAGGCTATAGGCTTAGGAAAATCATGAAAATTTTTCGAAAATTTTTTCTTCAAAAAAGAGGTTTATCTGTTTCAGCAAGATCAAAAAGAATAGAAATTGAACTAAGTTTGGGAATAGAAGTCGTTTTTGTTAAAAAATAACGACTTTCTAGAGTGGTCAATTTTTGATGAAAAAGTAAGGCTATAGGCTTAGGAAAATCATGAAAATTTTTCGAAAATTTTTTCTTCAAAAAGAGGTTTATATGCTTCAGCATGATCATAAAGAACAGAAATTGAACTTAGTTTGGGAATAGAAGTCGTTTTTGTTAAAAAATAATGACTTTCTAAAGTGGTCATTTTTTGATGAAAAAGTAAGGCTATAGGCTTAGGAAAATCATGAAAATTTTTCGAAAATTTTTTCTTCAAAAAGAGGTTTATATGCTTCAGCATGATCATAAAGAACAGAAATTCAACTTAGTTTGGGAATAGAAGTCGTTTTTGTTAAAAAATAATGACTTTCTAAAGTGGTCAATTTTTGATGAAAAAGTAAGGCTATAGGCTTAGGAAAATCATGAAAATTTTCCGAAAATTTTTTCTTCAAAAAGAGGTTTATATGCTTCAGCATGATCATAAAGAACAGAAATTCAACTTAGTTTGGGAGCAACATTTGTTTTTGTTAAAAAATAACGACTTTCTAGAGTGGTCAATTTTTGATGAAAAAGTAAGGCTATATGCTTAGGAAGATCATGAAAATTTTTCGAAAATTTTTTCTTCAAAAAAGAGGTTTATATGCTTCAGCATGATCATAAAGAACAGAAATTGAACTTAGTTTGGGAATAGAAGTCGTTTTTGTTAAAAAATAATGACTTTCTAAAGTGGTCAATTTTTGATAAAAAAGTAAGGCTGTAGGCTTAGGAAAATCATGAAAATTTGTGGAAACTTTTTACTTCAAAAAGACGTTTATATGCTTCAGGATGTTCATAAAGAACAGAAATTGAACTAAGTTTGGGAACAACGGTTGTTTTTGTTAAAAAATAATGACTTTTTAGAGCGTTCAATTTTTGATAAAAAAGTAAGGCTATAGGCTTAGGAAAATCATGAAAATTTTTCGAAAATTTTTTCTGCAAAAAACAGGTCTATATGCTTCAGCATGATCATTAAGAAAAGAAATTGAACTTAGTTTGGGAATAGATGTCGTTTTCATTAAAAAATAATGACTTTCTAAAGTGGTCAATTTTTGATAAAAAAGTAAGCCTATAGGCTTAGGAAAATCATGAAAATTTTTCGAAAATTTTTTCTTCAAAAAAGAGGTTTATATGCTTCAGCATGATCATAAAGAACAGAAATTGATCTTAGTTTGGGAATAGAAGTCGTTTTTGTTAAAAAATAATGACTTTCTAAAGTGGTCAATTTTTGATGAAAAAGTAAGGCTATAGGCTTAGGAAAATCATGAAAATTTTCCGAAAATTTTTTCTTCAAAAAGAGGTTTATATGCTTCAGCATGATCATAAAGAATAGAAATTGAACTTAGTTTGGGAATAGAAGTCGTTTTTGTTAAAAAATAATGACTTTCTAAAGTGGTCAATTTTTGATGAAAAAGTAAGGCTATAGGCTTAGGAAAATCATGAAAATTTTTCGAAAATTTTTTCTTCAAAAAAGAGGTTTATATGTTTCAGCAAGATCAAAAAGAATAGAAATTGAACTAAGTTTGGGAATAGAAGTCGTTTTTGTCAAAAATTACGATTTTCTAGAGTGGTCAATTTTTGATGAAAAAGTAAGGCTATAGGCTTAGGAAAATCATGAAAATTTTTCGAAAATTTTTTCTTCAAGAAGAGATTTATATGCTTCAGCATGATCATAAAGAAGAGAAATTGAACTTAGTTTGGGAATAGAAGTCGTTTTTGTTAAAAAATAATGACTTTCTAAAGTGGTCAATTTTTGATAAAAAAGTAAGGCTGTAGGCTTAGGAAAATCATGAAAATTTTTGGAAAATTTTTACTTCAAAAAGACGTTTATATGCTTCAGGATGTTCATAAAGAACAGAAATTGAACTTAGTTTGGGAACAACGGTTGTTTTTGTTAAAAAATAATGACTTTTTAGAGCGTTCAATTTTTGATAAAAAAGTAAGGCCATGGGCTTAGGAAAATCATGAAAATTTTTCGAAAATTTTTTCTGCAAAAAGAGGTTTATATGCTTCAGCATGATGATAAAGAATAGAAATTGAACTTAGTTTGGGAATAGAAGTCGTTTTTGTTAAAAACTAATGACTTTCTAAAGTGGTCAATTTTTGATGAAAAAGTAAGGCTATAGGCTTAGGAAAATCATGAAAATTTTTCGAAAATTTTTTCGTCAAGAAGAGATTTATATGCTTCAGCATGATCATAAAGAAGAGAAATTGAACTTAGTTTGGGAATAGAAGTCGTTTTTGTTAAAAAATAATGACTTTCTAAAGTGGTCAATTTTTGATAAAAAAGTAAGGCTGTAGGCTTAGGAAAATCATGAAAATTTTTGGAAAATTTTTACTTCAAAAAGACGTTTATATGCTTCAGGATGTTCATAAAGAACAGAAATTGAACTTAGTTTGGGAACAACGGTTGTTTTTGTTAAAAAATAATGACTTTTTAGAGCGTTCAATTTTTGATAAAAAAGTAAGGCCATGGGCTTAGGAAAATCATGAAAATTTTTCGAAAATTTTTTCTGCAAAAAGAGGTTTATATGCTTCAGCATGATCATAAAGAATAGAAATTGAACTTAGTTTGGGAATAGAAGTCGTTTTTGTTAAAAAATAATGACTTTCTAAAGTGGTCAATTTTTGATGAAAAAGTAAGGCTATAGGCTTAGGAAAATCATGAAAATTTTTCGAAAATTTTTTCTTCAAAAAAGAGGTTTATCTGTTTCAGCAAGATCAAAAAGAATAGAAATTGAACTAAGTTTGGGAATAGAAGTCGTTTTTGTTAAAAAATAACGACTTTCTAGAGTGGTCAATTTTTGATGAAAAAGTAAGGCTATAGGCTTAGGAAAATCATGAAAATTTTTCGAAAATTTTTTCTTCAAAAAGAGGTTTATATGCTTCAGCATGATCATAAAGAACAGAAATTCAACTCAGTTTGGGAATAGAAGTCGTTTTTGTTAAAAAATAATGACTTTCTAAAGTGGTCAATTTTTGATGAAAAAGTAAGGCTATAGGCTTAGAAAAATCATGAAAATTTTTGGAAAATTTTTACTTCAAAAAGACGTTTATATGCTTCAGGATGTTCATAAAGAACAGAAATTGAACT